AGCGATGACATTTGGGTCTGAAGACTCGCGCAAGAGCATGGCGAGCTTTACCTTGCCGACTTTAAACTCTTCGGTTATCGATTTGAACGGGAGTACCAGCTTAGCCTGCTTGCAATACAGAGCCACGTCGGTCAGACAAGGCGGTGCTCCAATCCACTTTCTCAAGGCTGTGTTGATTTTCTTCTCCATGGTTTCCACTGCAGTCATCGTCAACTCGTAGACTAACAGTGGCCATAGGAGCTTTGGAATCAACATGAATTGGAGACACCATACCTTGAATTTCCCGACCAGCCTGCAAAGCTCGATCACGAGCAGGCCTGTAGCCAGTGACTCGTGTATTCGCCGGACTTCCGCTCTATCAGATAACTTCGAATCGTAAACGCGACCGAGACTCTTCACCGGTTCATCCAGAACCGTAGGGATCTTGTTCCTTGCCACCGTAAAACTGGTTGCCGACACCCTGCCCTTAAGGATTGACTGACTCCTCGACTTCTGCGGTTTGAACTGCATACCGCTCCATTGGACCACCGCGTCTAATCTTTTCAGGATCGTGCGGGCAGACTCCTCGCTGCCCATTATTATAGTCGTGTCATCCATAAATGCGCGACGTGGCGGCAACCAGTGATCCCCTATTTGAAGGCCCAGTCCGTAGCCGGCCGCCCCGTCTAACATGATCTGCATTGCCATGACAAACAGTATCGGTGAGATCGTACAGCCCATAGCTATCCCAATCTGCAACTCAATCCACCTCGTGGTAAACGTCGAGGTAGAGAAGCGCAAAGCGAACTTGGAGAAATATTGCTCGATCATTTGACTGATCTGTGTCGGTACGTGAAACATGCGAAGGGCTCGCCACAGTAGCCTATGGGGGACTGCCCCGTAGGCTATGGCTAAATCCAACCATATTACGTGCAATTGTGTTCTCTCATGCTTGGCTCTGGATAGCCTCCCAAATCATGGTCGCGTGTTCAAGGCACCCAGGAACGCCTGGAATACCACCCTTCTGAACACTCGTATCTATGTACTTGTTAGTCATCAGATACTGTGTCAGCCGGCGAGCCATGACCGAGAAGAATATCTTACCCTCGACATTCAACAGCGAGATGGGCCTGAATTGGGAAAGACTCTTCGAGTCCTGCTCTTTGGGAATGTAGACCCCATTTGCCTTTTACCACTCTGGACATATGTGATTACGGATCCACGCTTGTCTGGGTGAGATCGTACAGCCCATAGCTATCCCAATCTGCAACTCAATCCACCTCGTGGTAAACATCGAGGTAGAGAAGCGCAAAGCGAACTTGGAGAAATATTGCTCGATCATTTGACTGATCTGTGTCGGTACGTGAAACATGCGAAGGGCTCGCCACAGTAGCCTATGGGGGACTGCCCCGTAGGCGTTGGCTAAATCCAACCATATTACGTGCAATTGTGTTCTCTCGTGCTTGGCTCTCTGGATAGCCTCCCAAATCATGGTCGCGTGTTCAAGGCACCCAGGAACGCCTGGAATACCACCCTTCTGAACACTCGTATCTATGTACTTGTTAGTCATCAGATACTGTGTCAGCCGGCGAGCCATGACCGAGAAGAATATCTTACCCTCGACATTCAACAGCGAGATGGGCCTGAATTGGGAAAGACTCTTTGAGTCCTGCTCTTTGGGAATGTAGACCCCATTTGCCTTTGACCACTCTGGACATATGTGATTACGGATCCACGCTTGTCTCAACAAGACGTGAAGCATTTTAAGGATTTTCGGGCAGCGCTTGTAAAAAACGTACGGGACACCGTTCGGACCTGGGGCAGACTTGCCGCTGGCCTTTTTCACAACTTCCTCAACCTCAGACCAAAGGGGAGGTACCATTTTAAATGGTACCTTCGGCACTGAAGGCTGTTTGAGGCCGCTAAGGATCTCTGGATTGTCATCGAGAGGCTCTCTCCTCTTTTTGTCAGAGTACATCTTGCGTAGATGTAACTCAAGTTCTTCCTGACTGACAACCAGAGTCCCAGACTTCTGTTGCTCGAATAGACCTCGGGCAAACTGATACGGGTCCCTACAGAATTTCTCTCGCTCCCTTTTGGTTCTCCGTCTGTTGTTACAGAAACGCTCGGCACGACAGAGGGCACTGTGTTTGTTCTTTAAATGCAACCAAACTTCGTACAGCCCCTCCCGTTCGCTACCTGTAGCGGCTTTGAACCGTTTTCTGATGGCATTCTTGTCTGCCCGACACTTCAGAATGTCCCTCTGCCTCCTGCTAGTAATCTGCTTGGCACCTGGCTGTGCCTTCTGCACTGTCCCGAACTCGCGGGAGCAGTGTTCATATATAACATCACCAAATTTTGTAAGCTTGTCGCCTAACGACTTCTTGTTTAAATCATGTTTAAGTACCTCACATAATGTAGCCTCCAACTTACACCACACCACCTTCTCGCTCGCAGGTGGAAACCGGATTCTGGAACGTACTTCTTCAGAAATCATCAAATGTCGACGTCATGGGCCTCTCCGGGCGAGTGGGGTTCACCCAGCCCGTCGTTCCCTGACGACTGAGAAACTACCACAGGAGTAGTAGTTTTGCGACGGCGTTTACTGCGTGGAGCACCATCGCATTTCATTCTTCCGGCATGCGTTCTCAGACCATGCAACCCCGTGAAGCTTTTCCCACATGTACAGAGCCAGCCCCTAAATATAGCCGGGCCATAAATATGGCCTAACGGCTAAACGGGATTTCTGGGACCTCTCCACGTGTGAACCTCATCCGCATGGTGACACTTTGTGTCACCGTGTGTTTATCGCTTTATGTGATGTCCTGGTGGGTTACAACATACATACATACATAAAACTATACCATGTCTTTGAAAATCACTGCAGTATGATTGTGTCAGTGTGTGTTTGTGATTCTTTGTGTGTGTGCACGTTATCGCACGCTTTTGTAATGAATTGCTGCACTGAAGACAATCCTGATGACACGTACAAGCGTGGATGCATCGAAAACTTGGCAAGTATCCCATGCAGCTGTTCTCAACCTGTGGGTCGAACAACCCTTTCACATGGGTCGCCAAAGACCATGTAAAAACACATATTCACTGAAGTTATGAAGCAGCAACGAAAATAATTTTATCGTTGGGTGTCACCAGAACACGAGGAACTGTAATAAAGGGTATCCGCATTAGGAAGGTTGAGAACCACTGATCTAGGAGATGATGTTTAACTGTCAGTCCTCCACAAACCGTGGCCATACACTCACACTGGCACGGCACATGCTGATGGTGGTTATAATTGGAGTCAAGGTATTCCAGCCCAGACAAGAACACCACAGTAAGCCAGGCTCACGTAACCACAATATATCTACCAGTGACTGACTGACTGACTTTCTACCCCACTAGGAGATCACACAAGCGATGAACACCCGATGACACAAAGTGCTACAATGTGGATGAGGATCGCCATGGAGAGGTCCCAGAAACCGCGTTCAGACAATTAGCCATATTTATGGACTGCTTATATTGCGGCCCCTGGCAAAAGCCAGGGTGGCGCTTCAAATAACAAAAAATTTCGTCCTAAAAAGGACGAAACTGGGTTGAATAGCTGCTTTATCTACCACAGGTTACATGTCCTTTTGTAGCCACCAGCACTACACGATAACGCTGTCATACAACAGACTACAGCCAGTGCCTCCTTGCAGTGCGAAAACTCTTTTTAATTATGGACGAACACATAGCGACGAAGATAAAGTTAGGATCAATGCCTCACTGTCAGTCTACTTCTCCTTCCAAGTACCCCCACATCGGCTGTCTGTAGAATATGGACAAAACACTCAAGCGAACTATGTACAGGGTGCCTGCTACAGGCGGCCCATCGCCTGATCGCGCAAATACGCCTACGTGATGTGCAGTTACAGTCCTCTGACGGTTCTTCTTCTAAGAGATCCCGCCACTTGAAGATCTATGGTAGATGGTCACTTGATGTAAATAATCCAGATCTCCCGTCTTCTATCCAGTCACTCATTAAAGTACCACTGATCAACCTCCAGATATACAGCATCCCGATAACTCCCAATCACAACTCCACGTTAGTCAACACACACAAAGTGACCACAGCACCTTCTGAAGCATTTAAAGACACCCCGTCAAGCAGCGTGCCACACAGCCGCAGCTCGTCCAACCTTACACACATGACTGAAAGAAGTCTATTCTATAAAATGACCCTGGCAGCTTTCTGAAGGACAACTGATGATCCACCTCATTTACTGGACAGACTTTTGGCTCATACAGAATAAAACATATTACTAAAACTGTCACACAAGCCATAGGATTTGAACAATTCAGGCACACATCCAGACACTTAGACTAATCAACTACTGACTCAAGTACCACGCACTTTCGCCAGCAGCGATTAGCTCCACGTAGATCTCACATTCCCCACACGCAGGCATTCGCAGTCACACGGAAATATCAAGCAACCTCTGGATCACAGCTTTAAGTGGCTCAAATGTTTACACTCAAAACCGGTCAACACAACACTAAAACCCCATGTGTACCCATGCTTCACCAAGCCCGGGCTTTATTAAATCTTTAAACACGATACTGACTTTTACATACAACATCTGACAGAAACAAAACTAAGACTGTGCAATACAGACACACCGTTTATGTATTTATAAGCGTATTTTCTGTATGGCGTGTATTTTTGTGTGGTTTTTTTTTTTTTAAAGTCACCACTCAGGCTGTTTTCTCTTGCCCTAATATAACTTAAAAGTGCCACGTGGTGTTTATCGTTTGTTGTACGATCTTGCTGGGGTTGAAAGTCACTCGCTCAGTACCTTTTGATGATTATCTGATTGTCTCTTTGCAGAACTGGTCCACTATAGCGCCACCTTCTCTGTCTTATAATTGTTGATATTATTTGTTGCCAGACACCTCTCTTATTTCTTCATTCCTCTTAAGTGTATTGTTGTATTTACTTCACACGTCACTGATTAGTTTAATACAATTCTTTGTTTCAGTTGCTGGAACATACAAAGTAACCCAGATTATTATTGGATCTTACGAGGATCTGGCGTGGGCGTAGTTGTGGTAAGTATAAACTGATTGTTCACATGTTTGTTATGTAGTCTACTGAACACCATACATTTAATTCTCACATAACATTCACATAATCTGACATAAGATCTAAACATAAATACTTTAGTTATGGCATTTAAAAATAGAAATTGGAGAAGATCGTGAAAACTGAAACTTTTTTTTTTTTCAGTTGGGATGAAAAAGAGAATTCTTAAAAGCTACATAAATCCTATCCTGTTATAAGGAAGTGAATCATGGACAGTTCGTGGAATGGTGCAAACAATTTTGGAAGCTGCTGATGTATGGTTTCGTAGACGAATGGCGAGAATAGCCTGGACAAATAAAGAGTATGAAGATGTTTTGAAAGAAACTGACACACAAAGAGAACTGGCTGCCCACATCAGAAAGAGACAATCGTTGGTGATATGATGAGCAGGAGAAAACTGGAGTACATCGTGACAGTAGGACGGTTGGAGAGGAGGAGAGGCAGAGGCAGACCGAGAAAGAAGCTACTGGACAGTTTAACATCATGGCATGGAAGATCATCTGTGTCAGAGTTGGTTGTAAGTAGACGAGAGAGAAGGTTATGAGACATGACTATCAACGCCACACAGCAGTAACTTTAATAAGAACTAGCTTGAAGTACAGTGTTATTTTTGATGCTTTACTTCACAGATAAACTTCTTCCTGCTTCTGAACATCTGTCGTAAATTGTTCTTGAAACTTCGAAATACTTCCCAAAGGGCAGCTGTTGGTAATACCAAGTACAGGTCAGTTGGTGTGTACGTGTGTGTGTGTGTGTGTGTGTAAGTCTGTGCCTTTGCGTGTGTGAATGTATTTCCTACTAAACCACAGACTCTTGACTAGATCAGTTTAAGACAATAAAAGCAGACAAACAGACAGTATGCATACACCTATACTGACAAAGAGAATTATAAAGGGAGTGAGGGAAAGAAGATGTGAATGATGGACGGAATTATTGGGGAAAGGAAATTGGTGACAGTAAGAATATGCGGTGTCAGGGATAACTACATTATGTCACTACTTCGGTCGGATAAAGAAACTTAAAATCCTTAAATCTTCAAAATAAAAATGTCAACGATGTCAGACAACATTGAATCGGAGACTTGGTACAGACGGCTCAAGGTAAGCCGTTTCACTGTAGCCGTTTCAGCAGAGGCAATCCCAATCATGAATTCTTGGACTTTGACAGCGTGGCTCTCTGATCTGGATTTTCATTGACTGTATTCACAGAATCTGCTCAAAGATGAAACCAAAACTATTCTTGGTAGAAAAACTCACCCCTATAATTAGGTGTAAATAAATACAGAGATCTAAAAAAACAGTCTTTGCGAAACCTTGCTTTTAAATATGGGCTTATCGTGTTTATGTTTAGGCGCATACTCTTAGGGAACATAAATAATCTACTCACTGTCTCCTAATTAGAATGTCATAAAAGACGACCACTGGAAAGATCTGTGGAGAAAGAAACAGATGAAAACAGCCTGAGAATATTCTTGGCAAAGGAGGGTTATCGACACACGAAATAATTGATCCAGGGGTATCGACACACGAACTAATTGATACAGGGGTATCGACACACGAACTAATTGATACAGGGGTATCGACACACGAACTAAACGATACAGGAGTAACGACACACGAACTAATTGATACAGGGGTATCGACACACGAACTAATTGATACAGGATTATCGAAACACGAACTAAACGATACACGCAGTTGCGAATCGCAGATTGTAAAGAGTCATGATCACACACACCAGTCGGCAAGACACTTGGTGATGATATGTAGCCAAACTTTGTAGCGGAGAAGTTGCATGCCATATGTTCCCAAGTACAAGACGTACCTTGATTTTCGGACCGCAAATGTGGGCGTGGAAAAAAAAATATGATTATTGAATTTAACAGTGTACGAAAATAATTTCTGAGACATTTTTTGGACAAAACGTAACAAAATGTATCAAGTGCAAGAACTCTGAGCGTGAAGACAAGTGCGAAAACGATTACAACGAGACATAATTATTAATTTTATGAAATCCTTTCCCCCCGCCCCAATTTTTATGTCTGCCGTAAACTAATGAGATCCTATACAGGATCAGGAAATTTGTTAACAAATCATTTGTTCAAAATAGGTATCCATTACATAAAACACATACGGTTTTCATTTAGACTGTATATTTGGAAATCAAAGTTTAATCCCGTCTGAATGTGGAAAGCAATTTTTCGTTATTTCAAAGCCCTATTCCGACTGTTGTTGGTGCCCTGTTATAATCTACCGGTTGAACGGGCTTCTGTGACTTGTGCCCAGGTGATCCTCATCCGAATGATGGCACTTTGTGACACCGGGTGTTGCTCGCTCGTTATACGGTCCTGGTGGGGTTGAATGACAAACAAACAGTAACTGCGTTTTATATTTTTTTGTTGTGGTAATTGCGGACACATTTTATACAAGCTTATTTAAAGAAATATGGTCAATTGCTGTACATCTGTGTTTGCAGAAGACTTGCCAAGTTCATCCTGGTGCTGATCCCACTGTTCGGCATCATGTACATCGTCTTCTACGTGGCCATGCCGTCCAACTTCGAGGAGACGGAGTTCAATGTCACCTACCTGTACCTGGAGATGGGCTACAATTCCTTCCAGGGATTCCTACTGGCGTTGCTCTTCTGTTTCCTCAACGAGGAGGTCAGTGCCTCCTTTTCCAGACGTCGTTTTGACTTCTGAGCAAAACGTTCGTTTTTCTTACAGTCCGTTAAGGCGGCTGCTATGGTCTCGTACTGTGGCCTTCAAAGAAGTTTCAAGAAGGGGCGTCAAGTTGTTTTAAAATTATGTGCATTAGTACTTTAACTGAAAATAACTACATAAGAAATTTGCTGTCTCCTCAATGTAACTAACAACACAGGTAGGGACAGGGTTAGCAATACCAGCATAGAAAGAAAGTTGAAATAAGACAGACAATAAATGAAATGCTTCAGCCGTCTAGTAAGAATGCATCCAGACCAATCTGCATATGAGACCTTTTACAGAGAACATCTTAGAGGAAGGCGAGGGAAAGACCAAGAAGTAGATCGATAAATTATGTAGCTGAAACCTGCAAACATATTAACAAATTCGTCACCCAAACCACCCGAGAAGCGCAAGACAAATAGAGAAAACCACGACAGTAGGCTACAACCTGGTATCAGGAAGACGACAAAACCACGACACTCGGCTACAACCTGGTATCAGGAAGACGACAAAACCACGACACTCGGCTACAACCTGGTATCAGGGAGACGACAAAACCACGACACTGGGCCACAACCTGGTATCAGGGTGACGATAAAACCACGACACTGGGCCACAACCTGGTATCAGGAAGACGACAAAACCACGACACTGGGCTACAACCTGGTATCAGGGAGACGACAAAACCACGACACTGGGCCACAACCTGGTATCAGGGTGACGATAAAACCACGACACTGGGCCACAACCTGGTATCAGTGAGACGATAAAACCACAACACTGGGCTACAACCTGGTATCAGGGAGACGACAAAACCACGACACTGGGCTACAACATGGTATTAGTAGGATGACAAAACCACGACACTGGTCTACAACATGGTATCAGTAGGATGACAAAACCACGACACTAGGCTAAAAGCTGGTATCAGGGAGACGACAAAACCGCGACTCTAGGCTACAACCTGGAATCAGTGAGACGACAAAACCACGACACTAGGCTACAACCTGGTATCAGATAAACGACAAAACCACGACACTAGACTACAACCTGATATCAGGTAGACGACAAAACCATGACACTAGGCTACAACCTTGTATCAGAGAGACAACAAAACCACGATCTGGGCTACAACCTGGTATTAGGTAGACGACAAAACCACGACACTAGGCTACAACCTGGTATCAGGTAGACGACAAAACCACGACACTAGGCTACAACCTGGTATCAGGTAGACGACAAACCAACGACATTGGGCTAAAACCTGGTATCAGTAGGCTGACAACAGAAGACAAGGAGCTACTTGTAATAATCTTATAACATATAATAATTTTAACATACACGAAACAAAACACCGTTGACAGCTTGGTGTGGAGAGTGAACTCTGCTGTGCCTTGTCCAATATCGACCCCAAAAAAAAAAAAAAAAAAAACCAGATGTTGTGAACATGTCATGACATTGATATTTGTTGGTGATTATTTCTATTTTTTTTTTTGTTTTTTTTTGTTATTTGACACTTTGATTGAGTGGATTTTTTTCTCCAAGTTCTTGGTAACATTGCTTGGGATTTTTCTTGTGTCCTCCTCTTTTTAATCACATTTTGTAATGTTGTTAGAATGTTGTTGCTATATACTTGAGGGAGCGCCAACTACAAAAGGTTGAAGATCACTGCTCTAGTAACATCTTGCATAAACTGGTAACGTAGCAAGGTGAATAGAATACCCAGATTAACAGTACACTAAGCGCGTGCTGATGGCATCAAAAACGCAGGGGGCACCACAAAAATTTTGCAATAGATTTGGATCTGAGCTTTTATTTTCTCGGTTGAAGTATAGTTTAACTAAATAATTCTATCAGATAAACGATGCAAACAGGCAGTCCTGGATCTCTTATCTCTGTTAACTATACAGCAAACGTGTCACATGAGATTATTTTGTCTTAAAAAAGACTTTATAATTTTAAAAAAAAGAAATAATAAGAGAAAACTGGTCAAGCATAAATAAAGTGGAAGTATACACAAATATACATTATTTTCTATCTTACTGTAACTTGTGTATGGTTTATCACTTTCAATTTCGAATTAAATATATATGCTTGCACCAGGAACGTCTCAACACATGGGTCTGCTTGGACCTTGCATGGGGGCACCAGGGCCGTCTCAACACATGGATCTGCTTGGACCTTGCATGGGGGCACCAGGGACGTCTCAACACATGGGTCTGCTTGGACCTTGCATGGGGGCACCAGGGACGTCTCAACACATGGGTCTGCTTGGACCTTGCATAGGGGCACCAGGGACGTCTCAACACATGGGTCTGCTTGGACCTTGCATGGGGGCACCAGGGACGTCTCAACACATGGGTCTGCTTGGACCTTGCATGGGGGCACCAGGACCGTCTCAACACATGGGTCTGCTTGGACCTTGCATGGGGGCACCAGGGACGTAGCATGGGGGCACCAGGGACGTCTCACATGGGTCTGCTTGGACCTTGCATGGGGGCACCAGGGACGTCTCAACACATGGGTCTGCTTGGACCTTGCATGGGGGCACCAGGGCCGTCTCAACACATGGATCTGCTTGGACCTTGCATGGGGCACCAGGGACGTCTCAACACATGGGTCTGCTTGGACCTTGCATGGGGGCACCAGGGACGTCTCAACACATGGGGCTTGCCTTGCATAGGGGCACCAGGGACGTCTCAACACATGGGTCTGCTTGGACCTTGCATGGGGGCACAGGGACAGGCTTGGACGTCTCGTCTCAACACATGGGTCTGCTTGGACCTAGCATGGGGGCACCAGGGACGTCTCAACACATGGGTCTGCTTGGACCGTGCATGGGGGCACCAGGGACGTCTCAACACATGGGTCTGCTTGGACCTTGCATGGGGGCACCAGGGACGTCTCAACACATGGGTCTGCTTGGACTTTGCATGGGGGCACCAGGACCGTCTCAACACATGGGTCTGCTTGGACCTTGCATGGGGGCACCAGGGACGTCTCAACACATGGGTCTGCTTGGACCTTGCATGGGGGCACCAGGGACGTCTCAACACATGGGTCTGCTTGGACCTTGCATGGGGGCACCAGGACCGTCTCAACACATGGGTCTGCTTGGACCTTGCATGGGGGCACCAGGACCGTCTCAACACATGGGTCTGCTTGGACCTTGCATGGGGGCACCAGGGACGTCTCAACACATAGGTCTGCTTGGACCTTGCATGGGGGCACCCCGAGCAAAGGAGTCCTATGATATCATGTCTATGTCAAGTTACAATGAACATTTCATTTCTGTGAGTGTTGTCGTAGGTCCCCAGCACACTGGTTTGCACAGGGGCTTATAATGCTGTTTAGACGGTCAGGAGAAGAGGGTGAAGGGAAGGAGGAGTATGTCTTAACTTCCCTAGACATTCTCGAGTATCTATTTTGATTTGGGTCGACCTGGGAGCCCAAGATCGAATATAAAAATCAGCCCAGGTGCGGTGTTTCTTCTCAGTATGGTTCAACAACTGCAAACTCTAGTGGAAAGTTATGGTCTTTCGTCCCCTTCTGAACTGTGGTCTTTTTTATTAACTTGGACTGTGCGTGCACATCCGTTTTACAAACATGGCTTTTGTGTATCCTCAACATTGGTTCCCCCCTTATTCGGGATAATGCGCTTCAACTTTGAAGTACACTCCCCTGATCACTCGCCTTGGTCGAACGTTTCATAGGAAGGCTGGGATACTATTCTTTTGGAAGACTCGGAACGCAAACGGATATCGTGCAGATTTAGACTCCAGTTCTTCGGGTTGGTAGACACTACCACTGTTGGTGACTTGCCACTGTATGTAACTTTCTGGTAGTTTAGTCAAAGACCGAAACCACTGCGCTCGTGTAAAGGTTCTTTCCAGACGATAGCGTTTAATTTAGCTAAAGCGAGGTCTGTGAATTTCAAGTGTAACTAGCAAGGCAATCCTGCGTTAGGAACAATCTTCAACAATAAGTGAGTGAGATTAGGAGACCGTGAAAATTACCATCAGATGCATAGTACATTCTTAGATCTCAGATTCTTCTTAGATCCCCACCTCTTGAGTATGGCACAACGACTAAACAGTTTTGTAGAGACCTTGTATTCCCATGCAACACAGCCTGATTTGTTTATTCCAATTGAAATAAAGCACTATCACGTGCCGCAGTTGATATGCGATGTGTAGATTGATGAGCTTGCGTTTTGTTAGGGATTTTCTCTAAATATTACCCACAAGAGGAACTACCTTATCCAAATTTCTAAAGTATATTTTTTGTTTCTCCTGCAGGTTCACGGAGAACTCAAAAGAATGTGGCAGCGTCATAGAAAACATCGCCTTACCATGTCAGCCATTAGATCGGACTACTTTCATTCAAACAATCGCTTGAAACATTCCATTATTTCCAGGGATAGCCAAGAAAGCAATAAGATGGCACCATTAGAAGTAAACAACAAAGTACCACACAAAAAGCAAAAACAGTCACAAGCAATCTCTGCGTCATATGAAAATGTCCATGACATGTCTTCATCAAAATCAAAGACAGATACTTTTAAACCTCACTGTCAGATATCATCAACTGCAAAGGGTGCAACGTTCCAGACAGCTCGTTCTGCTAACAAGGTGGCACTGTCGTTGTGTCCCAACCTAAGACAGCCAGACTCGCTCCTAAAACAAGCAGTGCGAACAAACGCTCATCGTAGGTTGCTTGGTAGCAGCAATGCTTTGGAAACAGCTGCCAGTATACCCTCTTCAGGAAAGATACAGTGA